GCAAAGAGATACAGTGGTCGATTCAAATACCGTAGTGGTAGAGGTAATAAGAGTATAAGCAGTAATCAGGAAAATTAGTATTTGCAGATGTTATTTAAAGAGTATAATACAGTGAAATAATTTTAGGAAGAGAAAAAAAGATAAAAGGACGAATAAGGAGATCAAAATTTGGGAGAACACAAAGAGTGGATGCATCTGCACCATTGCAAACGATTTTGAGCCATGTCATTGAAGGTCTATAACCATCGGTTACTATCGTCTCACGGATCCCAAGCAGGTAGTCCACACCTACCAACATGACTCACTCTCCCCACTTGTCAGTGACTCCATGGATTTGTGCCATGTTTTGATCTGGCCGCCCCTAACTTTCTTCCAACCTACTCCTATACCAGAAAACATCACACGTCGAGGCAGTCGGTCGTTGGGCATACGTAACACGTGTCCAAGCCATCTCAACTGGTGAAGTTTCACTACTTCATCAATTGATTTGCCATCCTTACCTAGTACCCGTTTTCTAACAACTGCATTACTTACTCCATGGTCCCAGGATATACGAGCAATATTTCGAAAACATCTGTGATCAAATACTAGTAACCTACGAATATCCCCTACTCTTAGTGGCCATGTTTCACTGCCATAAAGTAGGAACGAACCAACTGCTGAGCAGTAAACCCGTCCTTTGGTTGATAGACGGATATCTCGCCTACGTCATAAATGACGCAAGTTGGTAAAAGCTAGTCGAGCCTTCTGTATCCGTGCTGAGATTTCGTCACACACCAGACCACAAGGGCTGATGAGACTTCCAAGATAAGTTAAGCGATCGACATGCTCAATTACTTCACTACTTGTAAGTACCAAGTTCTTTGTATCCAAGTATTCATAATGAATAAAGTTAAGGGTGACCACAATTGGACTGTTAAAATGTAAACTGAATTCTAGACCATCCAGTGCTTCCAGGCTTTCCATAATGGTCTAGCTTCAATTGACTCATGAATTCAACTATTGAAATTACTAAATCTCTTCTGAAAATAAACTTGAATCAGTAAAATACTGTGCCAAATGTAATAGTATTCCAGTTATGCGAATAATTTATGTAAAATAGGATAGATTATCCTGGTGATTATATGAATGAACATAATTAATTTACCATTATTTACCATGAAGAGTTATATATGACTCATTTTATAGTGATATATGATTAGAGAAACACAATGTGTGTGTGTGTGTGAGGGAGAGAGTGCCATTGAAAGCTCCCCTTAGTACATTTATCTGTTCTTTTATGTAACTATAGTCACAAAACTGATCTTATCACATTATGACTTGGTATTTTGTTAACTCTGTAATTTTACTAATCAACAAACAAACAAACAAAGAAACAGTTGAGATCAAACTATTTTCATAATTAGTCATATTTATATACACAATATGGATGATATACGATATACCACGTTTCTTTTCTTTATTTACCTTCAAAACTAAAATGTTGATCAAAATTAAAAGTTTCAATATTGATTATTGAACAAGTGTAGATTTAAACAAAATTCACTCGGCAACTGATTAACCCCCTTTTTTAATGAATATTTAAGCGTTGGATACTGGCTCAGTGGTCTAGTGGTTAAGTGTTAGCGTGCAAGACTAGTAGGTCCTGGGTTCGAATCTCATGAGGCCGGGTCGTGGATATGCACTGCTGTGGAGTCCCAAAATAAGAAGAAACGAACATCCAGTGCTTCTAGGTTTTTCATGGTGATCTAGCTTCAATTGACCTATGATCTCAACTATTGAATTTACTAAAATTTCCACAAAACCCCTTCGAATATTTAATTCATAGATATCTGATGTGAGACAGTAACTCACTGAAGACAATAGTGGACGGTTGTTCAGTTTCATGGATAAGTTAAAGTTAGACGTTAACACCGTTGGATGCTGGCTCAGTAGTCTAGTAGTTAAGCGCTCGCGCGCGAAGCCGATAGGTCCTTGGTTCGAGTCCTGCGGTGAAGGACCGTAGATGTGCACTGCTGAGGAGTTCCACATTAGGGCGAAACGATCGTTCAGTAATTTCAGGTTCTCCATCGTGGTTTAACTTTTATTGACTCATCAATTTATCCATAAAAATCCGTTGAATGGTTAAGTATAAATTATGAAAGTCTATTTTATTTACATGATTACTTTATGTAATTTTGATACGATTAGAGATCACCTTACCTAATTTATTCAAGATTGTCTATTTTTCAACTATTATATGGTTAAATAAAGATGGATGGTGGTTAGCTGTGGAATCCAGAATGCACGCTTCGTCCTGTTTGAGACTTGTCAACTGGATGTACCTACATCACAGAGTTGGTATTCAATTCAGGAATACCATTGAACTTAGCACAATACTTTATTAATTCAAGTTTATTTATCTGAAACTCAAAACAACTATCTGTCAACCAACACCAAAATCAGAATTTTCAATACAAATGTGAAGACAGTTCTACTATATGGGACGGAAACCTGGAGAACTACGAAAGCCATCATCCAAAAAATACAGGTGTTTATTAACAGTTGTCTACATAAAATAATTCGGATCCGTTGGAAGAAGTGGTGGAAGTGGATAGGACACACATTTGGAAAGCAACCAACTGCGTCACAAGACAAATCCTCATATGAAATCCTGAAAGCCAAAGAAGAGGCGGAAGATCAAAGAACATAATACATCGAGAATTGGAGACAGACAGACAGACATGAGAAGAATGAACAAGAATTGTATCGAACTAGAAAGGGAGGCCGAGAACAGAGTGTTTTGCAGTATGTTGGTCGGCAGCTTATGCTCTATCGTGAGTAACAGGCGTAAGTAAGTATTGTGGAGATTGTTGAACATGAGGTTTCCTCTCTGGGACTGATTTTGGTTAGAGAACCATTTAAAACAACAGGAAGCTATAGATTTCTGTTTGATTCAAGTATGAATGTAATCAGAAGTTTTCATTGATGACTCCACGATAGATCATACCTAAGATCCTACTTTTTAATAGTTGTCCAATCAAATTCAATTTGTGATATGAAACTTTATTTTCACTTATTAATTGATTATTCAATTCAAGATTGAACAGAATCTCAGCATTCACTTATGTAATTCTGTGTTCTGAAATCAATAATCATGGGTGAGATGAATTCTCAAACTTAATTATTAGACATTATAGATCTATTATTTACACAATGATAAACTGGTCAGTTGTAAAACAACCTACAAATTACATGAGAACAGTAATATCGATTCAATATTATATAATCGATTATATCGAAATTAGTCAAAAATGATTGAAATGGATGGAATTCTATTACGTAACAACATTTGATGTATAGAATACTAAGAAATGATTTTGGACTTAATATATTCTCTCTTTTTCATCCTACGTGATCAGGACATCTCAAAGGATATAACAGGCGAGTAGAAAAGCCAAGAACGAGCGGGTGTACAGGTTTTCACACTGAATCATCATTCTTTGGAACCTGCTACGGTAAGCAGTAGTGTCGGCACCTCAGATTGACTCATTCAAGAGAAGACTAGACACTCACAGAAGTATTATTTATTTAAACACATAAACATTGGTATAAGGAGGCACTAAATTGATATGCGCCACATAAATCATTCGATATGTGTGAGGGCTGGGATACTGCCCGGGTTCCCAAACCGAACCACGTGGTTTGCTTAGGAGGTCACACCCAGAACCTTTGACCTAAAGATCTGATCCACAAGGCAGTGAAGCATCGTCAGGAGATGCAGTCCCATGGTAGACAGTGACCAACAATTAGTCCATACGCCATTTGTTCCTTTAAGATACTGGAGCCCATTTGCACCATTGGTTTGGAATGAGGCTTTTCCAGCTCCCCTAGGTGGACTCTCCATGTCCACTAACCCCGTTATAGCACCGGATATTCGCTTTTCTTCCTCTCAATTTCGTAAACAACACCCTTGCCACGAGAAGGCAGTGAGTAGAACTTCCCTGGCAGAGGCTGTATACGCGTGGCCATGTGAGAGCATTTGAAGAGGGAGAGTGGACTCTTCCCACTCTCGGCCGTACCAGGGCATTATTCCTAGAAAAGGAATAACATAGGCTGTAGGTATTCTTTCCTTACTACACAAATCTGAATCTGAAGACCATCATCCTAAATAATTACAAAAATACCTGTCAAAAGTTGAATCCTCAACTTTGTTTATGTTCAAAGTTACATATCCATTACTGACAATTCATTTAGTGAAATTAAACATTACGTTAACAATAAGAAATAATCAAAATGTATTAACTAATATGGATCTGAAAAGAAAGAGAACAAAATAGAACGACTTTACCATATTCCACAAATACTGTCATTCTTGTTTTAATTAATGATGAAGATTTGTTTGAACAATATTTAATTATCAGTAGGTTGTTCATCAGAGATGGAGAACTATTAGAAACCATTCAGTATTGGATAACTGTTTGGTACTAGTATATGACTGTGAGGAAGTGTGGATCTATGACTATTTCACTGATTAAACCTATGAATTTGAAGGATTTGGGACGAGCACCTAATCATTAGACTATTGAGCTGATAATCAATGGTAACCATTTTTAAATGGAATTAGTTTACTATTTAAGATCAGAAGGGATATTTTTGGATATTATAGTAATTTCAATAGTTGAGATCATGAGTCAATTGAAGCTAAATCATCATGGAAAACCTAGAAGCACTGGATGGTAGTTTCATCCTGTTGTGAGACTCCTCAGAAAATCGCATCCATAATCCCTCCTCGTGAGATTCGAACCCAGGACATATAGGTCTCACACACGAACGCTTAACCTTTAGACCACTGTAATTGGTAATAAACATTTCACTCCCCACATGTTTACACTCCACAAGTCACAAATTCCTGTTAAAAATCTAGGAACTTATCTTGAAGTAATTTATTAAACTTCATCTATAGTAAATATCAATTGAAGATTGAAAGAAATCTTCAGTAAACATTTTAATCAACTTACTTGGCTATGTGTTATCTCCGATAATAATGAATTTGATGTACAACATACAGTAATGTGAATAGGTGGAATTTGTCGTCTTACTTTAGAAATTCTTTCAATCATATTCATTTCATTGATAGAAGAGAAAATTACCGGACAATTTGTTGATGTAACAAGTACAATACATTTTTCAATGGATCTTAATTCCAACTAGATAATAATAAGAAAAGTAAATTGAATTTTACATTTATAGAGATTTCTAATGAAAATTCTCATCATAAAGTGATGAAGTGAACTAATAAAGATCAGATCATACACTATACAACTATTTTATCTCTCAGGGGGCGAGGTCGTGGATGCGCACTGTTGAGGAGTCCCACAATAGGACGAACCGACTGTCCAGTGCTTCCAGGTTTACCATGTCGGTCTGACATCAATCGGTTCATGAACTCAACCAAAAAAAAGATTCCTTATTACTTTAAAAATATGATCTTGCACAACCTTTTATCCATTGTCTGAGGTAGATAACTGTTTCACACCTTACACGGATTAAACTTCACAGGTGAAAATAATACAATCTCTACAAATCCCTATACTGATAGTTTAAAGATACACACTCGAACTCATATGAAATCAAACTCTGAGATTTCAGTTCTAGTGCCGGACACCACACTGTTGAATCATCATTTCAGGAATTCAACTATCTCTACTTTGCATGACATGGTTCAGAATTGATCAAAATGGCTTAGATGTATACACTCTTTGTCTCCCCTTAAACCATGAAATTAGAATAGCTAAATCATATTAGTTAACTCGAGATCTTAATCCATATTTCATCATCTGATATCTATGACCTAATCCACAAAACAATTTTTATCAAGAACATGTAGAAAACTCTACCTTCTTATGTATGTAATTTAACGTTTTTCAGACATATCCTACTTGCTATAAATGTGTTTATACATAAAATATTAAAAATTTAATTGTGTAATTATCTAATTACAAAGAAAAGAGAGTGGCTAAAGCTTTCCTTATAATGCTTAATCCAACTGCTCTCAATAGAAAAGAAGGTCTTATCATACATCCGACTTGGACTATCTATCCAAGCTACCATATCTAATATTATTCACATTTCACACTATTGTCTTACAAACAAATTAAACTCTCTCCTTTCTCACCACAAAGGTCCCATTTTTTCATCCCTGACCTTGCACTTAAACACAGGCAAGCACCCACCCACCTACATACATGTCGTTTATAAATCATCTTGACCGGAATGACATAACATTTACCAAGTGACATGGGAGCGAATCCGTAAGGGAGCACCAGTTCCCTGAAGATTACAGGTACATATTGCTAATGAGTGCCAAGTAGCACGAAATCCGAGTACAGGGTTTCCTGTCGACTACCTCCAACCAGCATCTAACATAACATTGACTTGTTTAGATTTGTTTTTATGATTGATCGCACAAAATATTCTTGTGTTGTCCTTTTGTACTAATTAAACTTGGATTCATTTTGATTTGATTAGTTATTTACTATGAAGAAGTGACTTACACTAAGTTACGAAACATCGGAAAATTTAAGTATTCTACTTGTTAGGATATGTACAAATATATTACTTTTATTTTACTTACATCATTTTGTTTATTCAAATAATCACTTGAACAATCGTAATTTAACTTTCTTAGATCACATTTGATAACAGCAATTGAACCAGTTTGTTTACATTTATCCAAAGCTTTTAATAAATTTGTAATGTATGATGAATCTTTAGAAGGTTTATCCATTTCCATTGGATCAACAATAAACTGTTGATTAGTAGTTTGTTGATTCACATTTCATTTTTTTCCAAGTGTATCCATGTAAAACAGATCATTTAAGCATAAAAAGAATAATAAGAAATAGACTATTGTGTAAACAGTTATAGATCGACATCATGAACTGATTGATGTTAGACTACCACTGGAAACCTGGAAGTACTGGACGGCTGTTTCGTCCCATTGTAGGACTCCTCAGCAGTGCACATCCACGATCCCGAACGCGGGATTCGAACCCAGGGCCCTCAGTCTCACACGCGAATGTGTTGTTGTCTAACCTCAACCAATCCGCGAAATTGCGCGACCATCTTCCATTGTACAGTTTCAGTCATAAAAACAATAATTTTATGTCTATTTCGTCCTAGTATAGAACTCATTATACTAACATGATAAATGGATGCTTAAGGTGGTTAAAATTATCTGTGGAGTAAACACTGAATCAAATCATCATAGTCGTAGGTCATTATACTCATCTTATACTTAACAGATATATCTGTTGTTCATATGTCTTGGTATTCTAGATGATTAGTCTAAAAGAACACTGAAGTTTATCACGATGACGATTTTATAACCCCTTTTCTTTGGGTATTATTTAACATTAAAGATAGATATGTGAGGTTAAGCGTTCGCGTGCGAGATTGATAGGTCCTAGGTTCGAATCTCACGGGGTGAGATAGTGGATGCTCACTGCTGAGGAGTTCCATATTAGGGTGAAACAGACGTTTAATGCTTCCAGGTTTTCCATGTTGATTTAGCTTCAATTGATTCATGAATTCAATTATTAAATTACTACAATCTCTATAAAAAACCCTGTCAAATATATGATTGTCCATTTTGAAACGAAAACAACTGGGTATTCATATTTTCCCCAGGTTCTGATATCACTTGGCAAACTATTGATAATCAAAGGGATCAAATAGCTCACGCAATCTAATAAATCCACATTATTAATCTTAACTAAGTCACGATATAATGTAAAAATCATAAGTCATTCAATTTTATTTAGTTATTTATTTATTTGAACACATAAATATTGGTACAAGAGGGCACCAAATATATATGCGGCACACAAAACAATGAGAATTTAAAGACAAGGAAAAAAGGTAAGGAGCGTGAAAGAAAAGGGGAACAATAACGAACAGATTGGTGTAATGTAGTATAATAATAATAATAATGATAATGGAGGAACGGAAAGGTACAACCAGAAGAAATCTTTCAGTTAAGGAAGATACAACCATTTTTTTATGAATAAAGTAAAAGAAGGTTAAAGCGGGATCACCACTGGCTTCTATTCTGAGCCATATCTGATAACGTCTCTAGACACTGTGTTGCACCATCTCTCAGACCCCAACCAGGGAGTCGTGAAGGACCAACACAAGCCAGCCCTTTGCAGCTTTCTTTCATACCACGACACCATGTCATACACTGACTACCTCTCCGCTTTTTCCAACCAGTCCCAGAGTCGGCAAATAATGCACGACGTGGAATTCTCTGAAACGACATTCGTAGAACATGCCCAAGCCACCAAAGTCGGTGTTTCAAGATGGTGACACCAATTGCATTATCGTCTCTGTGCCCGAACACACGATGCCGAACCTCTGCATTACTAACATGGTGTTGCCATTGAATGTCAGCAATCCTTCGGAGACAACGATGATCAAATACAGAGAGTCGTCTAACATCCTCTACTCGGAGAGACCAGGTTTCAAAAGCATAGAGCAAAACCGCTCTCACCGACGCGTTGTAGATCCGACCTTTTACAGCCAGACTAACATCACGAAGGCGCCAAAGGTGGCCCAGATTGGCATAAGCCGCTCTGGCTTTCACTTTACGTGCATTAATCTCATCACTCATTCAATAATCATTTGGATTTAATAACTCATAAGTCAATAGTATTCCATGAATAAAACTAACATAAAGTTTAGAATGCCTCATAAAATGTTATTCCATAGAAAGAAAAACAAATAATTCATTAATTGGCTTGAACTCACTAGAAACGAATTAATTCCATGTTGTTTAGTTAACTGTTCTATTTCATTTAAATGATTCTCTTGAATTTCCATAAAACCAATACGAATGACAATATCACACCAAAATTTTGTTTCTTTGAAAGTATTTTTATATTTTATTAAAAGATCAACAGCTGATGAATCTTTTGGACATATGATAGTATCAACTAGGAAGACATTTTAATAAATACGTACATACTACTTAAATATAAATTTAGTAGACAAAGACTAAAATAAAAATATTTAAGGAAATTAAAAAGAAAATTGTAGAGATAGGTAGACTGACCAGTTCTGAGTTCTAATCTCACGAGACGATATAGTGGATGGGCATTGCTAAGGAGTCCCATACCATGGATGAAACGGCCCTCCAGTGCTTCCAGGATTTGTATGGTGATCTAGCTTCAACTGATTTATGAATCTAACTGTTAAAATTACTATAGTATATACAATACCCCTCTCTGATTATAATTCCAATTACTGAATTATCAATCGTCAGTTATTTCAACATCAGATATCTATGACATCTATCAGTTGATTGAAGTTAGACATGAACAAAATTGTATGTTGGATTAGAAGTTTAGATGTTAAGAGTTCACGAGCGAGACCGAGGGTCTCGGGTTCGAGTCCAGCATGAGGGATTGTGGGTGCTCATTGCTGCGAAGTCGCACATTGAGATAAGGCGGCCATCCAGTACTTCTGAGTTTTCAATGGTGGTCTGGATTAGATCGACTCATGAATTCAACCATTTAAATTACTAATCTCTACAAACTGTTATTCACATATTTATGTGCTTATTGAGGATTTAGTTTATTTTTTTTCTCAGCTCTAGATTATTTTATCGACTAACCGTACTGAATCCTCCAAGCCACCACATACTACGCAGAGCTGTCTCTGAATGTCAAGTGGAAACCCAATAGGGATCAAGTGTTAAAGAACCACTTGACAATATAATGACTTGAAAAGTGAACTGGTATTTCATAGTATTTCACTGCTTTTCACTACAGAAAGATAAATCCAGAGATTTTACGCTCTCTCCTTCTCTTTGATTTATATTAGTTAATAAACTTCACTGATCCGAGTTAACTGGACGTTTACTGATTTGAGAGACATTATAATGTGGTACAGTCATTCTGATAACAAGAAATTACCCAGAAAATAGAAACTTTCAATTGTAAAACTTACCAATTGTCGTAGTCCCACCAAGTAAGGCCTCTTTTGTAAAATTTATATACTCTTCTGTATCAATCGAATGGATATCTTGTATTAAGTAAGTAGACATATCAATTCCAGCTGGCATAATTAACATTCCGGTAGCATCAAGTGTTGGCGTATCCGGTTGAACTTCAATGTTTGTACCAGTTGACCTAATTTGTTGTAAATTGGAGCAACATAAATCTAACTTATTCACTGATTAATCAAATGAAGATTAGCAAATTTTAAGATGAGGTAAATGCTAGGTTGTTGAAGTCAACTCGCAAGTCAACCGCTAACAGAATCGCACACACCAATCTTCATGATAAGGAATAACCAGAATGAGATCCAGGTAATCTTATTTCTGTCGACTTTCAGCAACTATTCAACATAACAACAAACTAAACCGTGAGTTTTGATGATATGTCACCAAAATGACCATAGGGGAGCAGATGAGGTTTATTCTTTATCTTCCTCTAGATTTTAAGTTCAAATATTCCCTTATGAATGTTTTATTTCTATTCCTTCTCAGACCATATTTTTAATGTTGAACCTTGTTTGTCATCAGTATCCGTACAGTTATCATGATTTCATTGTCATTCATCTTATTAATTTTATCTTACTGTGCTTATGTTTTATGATGAAGACCGAGATAACATTTGCACAAGGCTCTACGTTAACTACGACTGTCTGATATTATGATATACCAATTTTCGTGTTGCTAATTTAGTCAATAAAGTTTAGTCTAAACTAGGAACTAGACAGAATGAAATTGTTTATTACTCAGCTAATTGGGGGCAATCCAAACCTATCAATCCAATGCGGATTGGTGGACATAATGTTGCTGGTACACACAAAGCATCGTCACACATTTGTGTTAAGTCTGTTTTACGTTCTCTATCCTTATTCACTTCCCTTCGACTCTTTTGTGTATTGTTTTATACTACTTATTATTATTCAGTAAACAGTTGTATTCCAGCAATTTTTACACTTATGTTGTTAGGCAAGTTTGTCGTGTAAGATTCTGAAATATTTACATATACTTATAACATTTATTGTATTTATCATTATAATTACTTTATCTGATTCATCGTAGCATTTATTCTCGAATTCGTGCATTCGTTTGATCCTTGTTTAAACGGAACAGTTTCCATATATATTTTGCTCTTAGTTCAGTTTTTGCTTGTTGATAAACTGTTACCAAGTTTGAACATAGCCAATGGCTGTCATTTTTGCAGTATCGAAGCCTATCAAAGACGTGGCAAACGCCAAAGACACCTCACAGTTAAGGTTTGTAACTAATTTTCGCATATTATTCAGTGAAGAAAGGCTATTTTAGACAAATCGTTGCTTTATGAACTTCGATTTTACGTGTATCTCAATTAGGTGATTTGGACGCTTCGACAGACTTAACAATTTGTTATAACAACTTTTATTGTTTAATTCTGTAGAATAGTTCACCGAAACATTTAAAAAGATACCAATATTCAATTCGACTGAGAAGATAATTTGTCAGTTTATCTATTACTTGATGGTTCATAATTACCAGCAGCTTTGGAATGATCTGAAAAGATACTTTACATGTGAATGTATTAATGTGAAGATGATGAAAGATTTCTATGATATTAAGATTTGAAAACCGACAATAAACCTCCAAATCATTATACTTTAATATATTTGACTCATTCAAGATATTTACTCATTAATTGGAAGTAGGTTTCAAGTCTCAAAGTTAGTTCAACATCAACATTGTCCTAATATTTCTGTTAAGTTTGTCTTACGCTGTTCCTAGTCGTTCCCTTTCTACTCTTTTGTATATTGTCTTATACTACTTATTTACATTCAGTAAGCAGTTGTGTTATTGACAATTTTCACACTTATGTTGTAACGCAAGTTGCAGTGTAATATTCTGGAATGTTCACATATACTTATAACGTTTATTGTATTTATCATTGTATTTATCGTTATAATTACTGCATCTTAATCTCTGTAGCCGTTATCCACAGTTTTGTGCATTTGTTTAAACGCAACAGTTTCCATATTGTTTTGCTCTTGGTTCGAGTTTCGTTTGCTCATAAACTGTTATCAAATTTAGGCACAGCTATCAGCTGTCTTTTGTACTATCGAAGCCTTTTTATTTTCATACTTGAAGGACGCGTTTGAACGCCCTAGACACCTCACAAGTTGAGAACCGCTATTGTAGACGAATCGTTGTTTTGGAAACTTCGGTTTTGCGCGTATCTCAATCGGGTGACTTGGACGCTTCGATAGATCTGCCAATTTCAATACAATGACTTAACTTCAATATGAATAGTAATAAGAGTAATCATAAACTTTTGAATACTTACACAATCTTTCCATCTTCAATCAATATATTTGCAGACTGTATATGATCGCTATTTACTAATTGTCCACCGGTTATGTAAAGTTGTTCCTTCTATCAAATTAAAATTAAAAACAAATCAATAAATCAGTTGAATTGACTTCATTAAAGTCATATGCTTTAAAGAATCAATAAATATTCAGTACATCTAAAGATAGTTTCTGATAATACCTACTTACTTACGCTTGTTACTCACGATAGAACATAGGCTGCCGACCAACATACTGCCAAACACTCTGTCCTCGGCCTTCTTTTCTAGTTCTATACAATCATTGTTGATTCTTCTCGTGTCTGTCTGCCCGTCTCCAATTCTCGATGTAATGTGTTCTTTGGTCTTCCGCCTCTCCTCTGGCCTTCAGGATTCTATGTGAGGGCTTGTCTTTTGACGCAGTTGGTTGCTTTCCAAATGTGTGTTCTATCCACTTCCACCACTTCTTCCTGATTTCTTCGTCCACTGGGATTTGGTTTGTTCTCTCCAACAGCAGATTGTTGCTCATAATGTCTGGCCAACGGATCCGAAGTATTTTGTGTAGACAACTGTTAATAAACACCTGTATTTTCTGTATGATGGATTTCGTAGTTCTCCAGGTTTCCGTCCTATACAGTACAACTGTCTTCACATTTGTATTGAAAATTCTGATTTTGGTGTTGGTTGACAGATAGTTGTTTTGAGTTGCAGATGTTCTTCAGTTGTAAATATGCTGCTCTTGCTTTACCGATCCTCGCCTTCACATCTGCATCAGATCCTCCGTGTTCATCAATGATGCTGCCCAAATATGTAAAGGTTTTTACATCTTCCAAATCTTCTCCATCAATTGTGATTGGATTGGTGCATGTTGTGTTGTATCGGAGAACTTTACTTTTCCTTTTGTGTATGCTGAGACTTACTGCTACTCAGACTGCTGTAACACTGGGTGTCTTCTTCTGCATTTGTTGTTGCGTTTGCGTTAGGAGAGCCAGATCATCTGTGAAGTTTCGATCGTCCAGCAGCATCCTAGTTGTCCATTGTACCCCATGCCTACCTTCAGATGTTGAAGTCTTCATGATCCAGTCGGTCACCAGGAGAAAGAGATAGGATGAGATTAAGCAACCATACCTGACACCGGTCTTTACTTAGAACGAGTTTCTGTCATAGCCTGACATCAATAGGAGAACAATTGAAAATTAGTAGGGACATGACATATATTGTTGTTACTTAAAACTTCTCTATATCGAATAAAACTAAAGAATTTGAGATCATGAAAAATGCACTCAAATCGGTATATTGATTTCAACTTAACTCAATACAAAATCCTTTAGGTGGTAAATTTATTCAGACTAGTGTCAAAGATCATTACAACAAATGAAGACAAGCAAAAACAATAACAGAAATATCTAATTAACTTCTTACACTTTAGTACCTTTCCTATGAATACTATTAAAAATATATAAAAGCGGAGTGTTCTTTTAAATTCACTTGGTATTGTTTACTTGAATCTGCCGATTGATGCTTACGACTGCAATTGATCAGTCTCTTATTGGAATATGTGTATATTGTGCTTATTGCATCGACGTTACCTTAATTTACAAACATTATAAGTGGATAAAGTGATGGCGTTTGAAGCGAACAGTACTATGTTCGAGTCCCAAAGTGAACATCAACTCTGAGATGCAGGTACATCCAGCTGACGAGTCTCAAATAGGACGAAACGGGCGTCTTGGATTCCATTGCTAGCCACTACCAACCTTCGTAGTGTTCTTTTGTTAAATAATAATAAATTGAATGAATTATCATGGGAAAATCTATCATACCGTCATGGCAAAACAAAAAATTCTACAAGGAATCCTCAGATCAGAGGACACTTGAAAAAGTTTTCGTTGTAACAAAGGATAAGATTCTTATCACTTTGACGCAGAACCATGTTTATAGGCCAGGATTTTTTAATTGTTATGCATTCTATATCTAAAAGTCTTCTCAGTAAATTATAACTCATGCCAAAGAACATTTAAGATCTATACAACATGAACCATTAATCCTATTCACATCTTACATTTACAAAAAAGTGAATGTTTCTAACCTCACTCATCATATCACCACATCACAAATATCAATGAATGACAGGTTAAAGGTTAACAATAATCAATCAGAATTGAGGTCTACAAGATAAGTTGTGAGTGATATATGGAGAAAATTGAACATTTCAATTCTACTTAAATTTTGTGCTGGTGATATCGTTCAGAAGAACGATGAAAGCTCCATGACCAAATCATCCAGTTTAAGGAACAGAACTCCATCAAAACAAATATAACATTTTTTTACACCCACTAATAAGCACACACAACTACATATAACATTAAGTACATATAATCTTGATGACTAATCCACCGTTGGTTGCCGGTTGAATGGTCTGAAGGTTAAGCGCCCGCGCGCGAGACCAAAGGTGCTGGGCTGTAGTCACACACACGAGGTCGTGGATGAGCATTGTTGAGGAGTCCCATAGTAGGACGAAACGACCGTCCAGAGTTTTCAGGTTTCCAGTGGTGGTCTAACATTGATATATTCATGATACCAATCTAAGCTCAGTCATCAAGGCTTTCCATTAATTGATTCTTAACATCTTGATCATCGAAGTTAAAGAAAGATTGCATTTTACCAAACTATTTGATCACTATGGAGAGTTTATAGAGATTTTCCGAATTTCATAGTTAACATGACGGATTGATCTTAGTTTAAAAACAGAGCTTCAAAAAATCATGAAGCATTTGACAGTTGTTTCAGTTAAGTATAGGACTTTTGATTAGCGTGTATCCGCGACTTCGCCACCAGGGACTAGACCTATGATCTTTAGTCTGTCAATCCTGACACAAGTTCATCAGTTCGAAGTAAATACTTGATAAGAGATAAATGAGTGAAAAATTTCGAACCACTGGAACTAATATCACTTCAACTTTCAAAAACTGGTCTCAGTGGTTAACGTGATTCGAGAATTGTGAAGATACAAGATAGGCATGATATCTATACGTGCCAATCATGTAACTTGTTCAGTTTGATTTTTATTCAAGCTAACACTTAATTTTTCAAAGTGGTGATTCCTATTCGATATATATATCGCAATTTTCTTAGACTAATTATGTAAAAATATATCCTAGCCTTGTCTACTGTTTATTTTTCTGGTTAGCGTCTTTTGGCCGGTCAGTTTTCTTCGGGATGGGGTCGCTAAACCCATGCCCAACCCTCCGCCTTTACCCGGATTTGGGACCGACAGTAACTTTAGAAGAGCTACAGACAGGGAACCACTACAACCATCATCAAGAAGATACAAGTATTTATAAATAGTTGTGTACGCAAGATACTCAACATACATTGGTCGGATATCGTCAGCACCAGCCCTCCGTGGCAGAGAACAAACCAGGTTTCAGCTCAAGAGGAAATTAGGAAAAGACGATGGAAATGAATAGGACATACATTACGCAAATCATCAAAACGAGTCACGAGGCAAGCCATAACTTGGAATCCTGAAGGGAAGTGGAAAAGTGGAAGGTCAAAGAACACATTACGTCGGGAAATAGAAGCAGATATGAAAAGGATAAATGAGAACTGGAAGGAGCTGGAAAGGATTTAACAGGACAGGTTTGGATGCAGAGTGTCGGTGGATGGCCTATGCTCGTCCACGAGGAGTAACAGGCGTAAGTAAGTCTACTGCTTACAACATATTAGTGAAGCTAATACCTAAAAAGTATGATGGGAACTCTCAAGGTATTAAGTATACTTTCAATTATATTTGTCTTTCGGATAAACGAATAGGAGTCACTATAAAATTTATGTATCAAATACATTACGAGGTTTAAAAAAAAGAACATTTGTATCTGAGATCAAATGTATAATAGGTAATCATTGTTGATAGTTTTCTAATGCTTTTTATGAGGTGGTATTGTAGTGTGAGCTACTTAAATCTACATAAGTAGTAGTAATATGGCGATGGTTAGGAATAGAATGTACTTCAGTAAAAGATCAAGAAGGTAAGAATGGAAATGGAAAGTAATTGGCATGAAGATGCATGAACAATGAAATCTGTGACGATGGACTGATACTTACAAAAGAAACAGTCAAGTTCAAGACAATTGATCGACAGTTTGCAAATGAAGTATTTACTGTATAGTTCTCAGATTTTAGTGAGATATTCTGTAATTTTATGCTCAGATACATCCGATTGTCCCCACTTGTATACTTGTTCATCACAGTATCATCAAATCAATGAATAATTGTAAACAGTAATTAGATCGTTACTTGAAAATATACTGGGAAGATTAACACAAGTCAACTGACCAAATATCATTATGACTGAAAGCTGAAATATATGATCCATCTAGAATGAACCTAAATCTTATTTATATCTTATCATATACATATATACATAGCATTTCCTCTAATCTACTCTTATTTCAAGTTAGACATTGACAACGTTGGACGCCGCCTCAGTGATCTAGTTGGTTAGGCGCCTGGCGCGAGACTGATAGGTCCTGGGTTCGGATCCCGTGGGGTGCGGGATCGTGAATGCGCACTTCTGGGGGGTCCCATACTAGGACGAAACGGCCGTCCATTGCTTCCACGTTTTCCATGGTGATCTATCTTCAATTGACTAATGATTACAATCAGTGGTTATTAAATCAATATCATAATAAAAACTAGGTTGAGAACTGTATAGATGGACAGGTAGAAAGATCAATAGAGAAATGTAAACACAACAAAAGTACAGAGGGCAGCTACCCGTGCAATTCCAAAACTCCGGGGTTTACCATACAAAGAGCGGTTTGAAAAGCTGGACCTCTTTACTCTGTCATATCGCAGACTAAGGAGAGATCTAATTTTGATGTACAGAAGACTGCGAAATGATTTTGAATCTAACTTGTTCTCTCTTTTTCTTCCCACTAGATCGGGACATCTCAGAAGACATAGCAGGCGAGTAGAGAAGTCAAGAACGAACAAAATACCCATGGCGTACAAGTTTTCAAACCGAGTCATCAATACTTGGAACCTGATGCCCTATTGAGGTTTAAGACTGCAATCGATCAGT